CAATCCTCCTACCTCAGCCTCCTGAGTGCTGGGGTTACAGGCATGCATCGCTAAGCGAAAGGAACTTATTTATAGTATTTTTTGTGGGTGTATTTGGTTCTTTTATTTATTACACATCTGTGGCAAAGGCGTACAAGGCTCACTTTGTCAGACTTACAAACAAATCCGATTTACGAACATTCATCTGGAACGGAATTCACTAGGAGTAAGTCAGGGACTTCTTGTAGTTCCAAATATTAATAAATAATACAATGTAATAATAAAACAGTTATCTTTTCCTGTTATGGAAACTGAATGGGAATGAAGCAATAGAATAGGGAGGTTTAAACTTCTGAACAAATATGGCAAAATAATGTTTAGACCTTGGTCCAGGCTCTCCAGGGTGTGTATTTGTTTGTTTTGAGAAAGGGTCTCACTATGTAGTTCAGGCTGGCCTTAGGCTCTCTGTACAGCCCAAACTGGCTTCTGTCCTCCTGCCTCAGTCTCCCAACCTGTCAGTCATTTAACAAGACTGTTGCTGCATACGGAAATATGCCCGGTTCTGGGCCGGCCAGATAGCTCAGCAGATTAAAGTACCTTCTTAGGCAGGAGCAGGGACAGGGGTTCAATCCCCAGCGTGCCGTGCTGGCCCTGCCCCTGAGGAGCGCTGAGATGGTGACTGAGACTGGGTGTGGTGGCACGCACCTGTAATCCCAGCTCTTGGGAGGCTGAAAATAGGAGAATCACCACAACTCCGATTTGTGTAGTGAGACCCTATAGCCCTTATACTAAATACATTAAAAAGAAAAAAAAGTCAGGTTCTGATGCAGGAGCTGAGATCATGACAATGAATGATCAGGAAGATCACGCTTTTACAGAGCTCCCCTTCTGATGGGGATTCGGGATAACAGAGACTATGCCAGGCCTGGAAAATCAGGACCAGAATATAACCCAGGAACTGAAACAAGTTAGGCCAATCGGACAAGAAAGGCTCCTAGAAAGGATTCTGGTGTTCCATCTTCCGGTTGAATCTGGCCAAAGATTGGGTGGAGAGTAGGCCAAAGAGGGCCAGGTCCTTGCTTCCCAGCTCCCTCCCTGCCTGCTCACAGGTGGCAGCGGCTGAGTCCCTGCTGGAGGTCCCCCAGCATCTCCCCAGCCCTGGTCATAGCCACAGTGTTCTCTCTGATTCTGACCACGAAGAAGGGTAGCAGGTTTATCCAGGTGTCCTGCAAGTCATTTCTGGGTGGTCCCCACAGCCCACCATTGACTGCCTTTCTAGAACCTTCTCACCGTCCCTTCTTTGTCAGCCTTGCGGGCCATGCCTGCAGGCTGCAGACCTGGGCACCAGCCTTGTGTCCAAGCTGCAGGCACTGAGAAAGGCTGCGAGGGGAGGTGACTGTTCCAGACACGCAGCTTCCGCTCCGAGCGGGCAGCGACTCACCCCCAGAAGGAACGAGGCTCGGGGTGGTGACCAGCATGACCCCTTCCCCTCTCGCAGAGAAAGAAAGGCTCTGCGTGGCCGTGACTCACCTTTCTGTGTTCAGTGGACGGCTGCGGGCAGACGAGCTGGAGGCCGAGCAACAGCAGGAAGCCCAAGACACTGGGGAGGAAAGACAGCAACAGGCAGGGTTGTGAGTGCGGCCCAGGCAGCGGCGGCCGGGGCAGAAGGGGTGCCCGAGCCGGGTGCCCGGATGTGACCAGCGCGGGCGCGAAGGGCCACCCAGGACCCCATGCATGGGGCAGACAGAGCTGGGTGAGATCTCGGCTTCGAATACAGACGGCCAGTAAATACATGAGAAACTGTTCGAGAACTCTGGCCATTGGAAAAATGTGAAGTAATGCTGAGATCCCATCGGCCTCCAGAGAGAAAGGCCACCCTCAGGAAACTAAACAATAATCAGTACCGGCGAGGCTGTGGGCATCCGGGAACCCTTCTACCCCGTGGGTGGGAAAATAAACTAGTACAACCACTATGCAAATTAGTACAGAGATTTTTCCAAGAACTAGAGCTAGAAATTTCACTTAACCCAGCTATTCCTCTTGAAGGGATCTCCCCCAATGAATAAATGATGTCGCATTACAAAGATCCACACATACCCAAGTTTATAGCAGCATAGTTCATCATAGTTAAATCTCAGGAGTGGCCTACATGAATGGATAAAGGAAATGTACTTAAACACAGTGGAGTACTATTCTGCTATGAAGAAGGATAAGTGAGTCCTTGGTGGGAAAACAGTGACCTCGAGACCATGTTACGTGAAATAAATCAAAGACACAAGCTTCGATATCATATGGTTTCTGCTCTACGAAAAAAATGAAAATATAAAGAGCAAAAATAAAAGATAGACAGTAGGAAACAGAGATGGATCTCTTGCAAGAGGAAAGGCAGGGAGAGGAGAGGGAAGAGAATGAAGATGTGTTATGTACATACACTGGCTCTCCGGAAAGCATGTACGCATTATGTATTGCAAACACGTACTGTGCTAATAAAAATAAAACTTAAAACCACCAGATGTAACATTTCTTCATAAAAATCCAGCGTCACATTTAGCAGCAGGGCTTCGGTTCCCACTTCTACCTCCTGGGGCTTCAAATGGGAGCAGCAGAAACCCACTGGGCTGGGCGGATTACCAGGCGAATGCGCATGCGCCATCCTTCAGGTCCTCGCAAAAGTGGGGTTTGGGATCTTGGGCAGGGAAAGTCCCCCTCCTTCCGGGCTGGCCGGGCCTGCAGCCTTTCTGCTGCCTGTCCGTAGTCTTCTGGTAACACAAGTTCTCTCCATGGGTGGCATCAGCCGCATTAAGCTCCACTGTCACCAGCCCAGATTAGGACTTGTCAACAAATACAGGAGAGGCGTAGAAACAGGAGCCGGCTGGCAGGGAGACCAGAGAGAGCGCGGAGCTGTGGATTCTAGGCTGGAATCCCAGCCCGCGGCCCCACGCCTGCCCCGTCTTACAGATACTTGCGTAAGCCTAAACCTTCCGGGATGGCTGAAGCGTGAGGCGAAAAACTCCCAGCGCTGGAATTTGCCAGGGAAGGGTGCCCTGTTGCCAATTAACTTTCCTGCCCCGAGTCTCTTTGATTGCAAATCACAGTGTCATTATCTCAAGACGCACGCCTGCAAGGAGGACACTGCGTCTTCTGACCCTTTGTTAGGCCTCAGTGAACCCTAGCAGGGCTGGGGGAAGTCAGTCGTGCAGTTAAATATCACAACGGGCTCCCCCCACCCCCACCTTTTGTGGCCTCCAGACTGAACGCGGGGCTTCTGAACTGATCTAAATCGCCGATTCTTTTTAAGTTTTTATTTGGAAATAGGGTCTCACTGAAGTCGCTGAATTGGTCTGGGCTGCGTTCAAACTTGCAGTCTTCCTGCCTCAGCTTTCCCAGTGGCAGGATGCCAGGCGTGGGTCACCTCATCTTGTCGCAAGGCTGGCTGCTGAAGGGTTCGGACAGAGGCAAAGTGTTGCCTCCGTGCAAGACAGATGCGGTGGGGTGCTGGCAGTGAGGAAGTTCTGGATGGTTGCGGGGGGAGGCTCGTGGGCTTGCCACCTGACCCCTCAACGTTATCTGTTGATGCTGAGGCCCTGGCAGGGCACCCAGAGTAGATGCAGACGGACTGCGACATGCCATGCTGCGGGAACGAAGGTCACGTGACAAGAGCTCAGCGGGTCCCTTCTGTTCTCTGAGAGCCACAGCTGGATTCTTTTCTTGGGGGCGTGGGGAGCAGTTGCTGAAGAGTAAACCCAGGACCTTGGTGGCACCGAGGTACATCTCCAGCCCCTTTTCTTTTAGGTTGAGACAGGGTTTCATTAAATCATTACACTGTGCAGCATCTGCTTGAACGTGGGATTCTCCTGCCTCAGCCTCCCAGAGTGCAGGGATTACTGACTGTGCTCCCACACCCTGTGAGGTGTAAAATTCTCAGAGAAGGGATGGAGAAGCGGGAGCGCGGCTGCCACCGCCCTCCCAGCCCCACTTCCTCACAGGGGAAGGAAGAGCAGGAGATGCAGGGAGCCAAGCAAGGTCTCCGGCACTCGGGGCAGCAAGATTGGTGCCTGAGTATCCCCTGAAATCCTCAAGTCCAGTAGCTGGTTCGGCCATCAAGGACAGAAAGAAGGGAGGCTGGTGGACAGGGAGTGGGGGCTGGCTGAGGGCGGGGGGGTGTCTGGATTTCTACAGTAGAGAGGTGGGAGGTACTGCTTCCCCGTGAGCTTTGTGCATGGGCCCCCTGGAAAGACCTTGCACTTAGGGGATCTGGAAAAGACCCCCAGAGATTGTGAGGTGACCCCTAGGCTGAGGACAGTCGACAGGTGGCTGGGGAGTAGAAGAGCTGGGAATGGGGAGATAAAGGCTCAGCCAACTCCTGCACAACCTGCGCAGGACAGCAAGGTGGTGCGCTGGCAAGGACCTGTGGGAGTGCCCGAGGGAAGGACCTGGACCCCAGAGAGGCCAGCCACTGATCCCCCTGGGCTCTGTGCCCAACGCCCCCACTCCATGCCTGGAGCAGTGAGCCTGTCGGGAGGAACGGGCAGGAGGGGAGATGGGCTCAACTCCACATCCCCGCTGCTGGAGTCT